CTGTAGTTCAGGGGAGCCTGGAACTTCCTGTGTAGCCTCTTAGATTAATCCTCCTGGCTGCAGATACAGTCAGTCACTGTGCTGGGGTTATCTTATATATTTTTAAATAAGGAATACATAGCCACAATTTATAAATGGTGAAACACAAGTGTACATTTTAATAAAATAACTGAAAGTACATATATTGGCTGACAAACCTTATTACTGATAAAGGATGGCAAGCAACTGAGTTTAGGGACCACTTGGTCTTTTCCCGTGGCAAGTGAGCCTGTCAGTCCTGAAGCCCAAACTCCATCCTGGGAACCTGGTTCTGTTTCACATGGGGCTGCGAATTTCTTGTTCTTTCATATCCTCCTCTTTCTGGTTTCTTTTCTTACCCAGAAGTTCATCTTAAATGGCATTTATCCCATCACCAGAGACATTTCCAAGTTCCAGCTTGAGTGGAGTCCTCCCTGAATGCTCTCTGTGGTCCTTTCTCTTCACTCAGCCCCTGCTGTTTTCTGTGTCTCTTTTCCATGTAGCATCTCACATGGTCATGCCTGTACACCAGGTCTCACCCTCTGACTTCACTTTGAGCTCCTTTGGCATTTCTCTCTCGTGTGTCATTTATCTGTAGACACATACTTTGTGGATGATACTAATAGACTTATTTTTTAACCACATATTTCTTTTTTTAAGATTTATTTATTTATTTATTTTGTATACAATAATCTCAGTATTCTGCCTGCATGTATGCCTGCACACAGAAGAGGGCACCAGATCTCATTACAGATGGTTGTGAGCCACCACGTGGTTGCTGGGAATTGAACTCAGGACCTTTGGAAGAAAAGGCAGTGCTCTTAATCGCTGAGCCATCTCTCCAGCTCCAATACATAATTCTTTACTCTGAGGAAAAGGGTCATTTGTTAGCTCCATGACCTGACCTCAGCTTAGGGCACATGTCTGGTGGGCACTGAGATTTGTGTGTGTGTGTGTGTGTGTGTGTGTGTGTGTGTGTGTGTGTGTGTGTGTAGAGATTATTTTTCTTTGGCTCTGGGTGACATAAAGACATAGTCTAAGTGTTGAATACAGCTAGAGTTCTGAATTCCGCATGGCCTTCTGGGAGTGTCCTGCTAGTAGGAGAAGCTGGAGCACACAGAGCAGGGCACTGCCTCCTTGCACGTGGATACCATTGTACATTCCATCAGACTCTGGGTCGGTATGTGTGTGCATGTGTGAGTGCTATGTAGTGCAGGTGCCTCTTGAGGTCAGAAGAGAGCATTGTATCATTTGGAGCTGAATTTACAGGTAGTTGTGAGTCACTTGATGTGGGTACTAGCAGCCAGATACTTGTAACCACTGAGCCATCTCTGCCTGCCCCGTTGTTTTAAACCGTGATCCTATAACCCACTGTTGGAATTTGATTGAGCTATTTAACTTCTCAAGTCATTTAATTATCTTAGTAATCTATGTCAGAGTTATGAGGCTTCCTTAGACTGGTGTCTTTGGACAGTGCCGTCTCCCTAGGAGGTGCCCCTTACTTTCTCTTTAAAAGAGGAGTCCTCTTCTTCCCTTGCGAGCCCTCTACTGTACAGTGTTTTTAGTATAAACAGACTCAGAGGAGGGTGTTCTAAGCTTAGATTTGAGGCTGTTGGGTTGGCCTGCCTTCTGCCTTGTCTCTTCCCCAGAGAGTATGAAGATTAATTAGTTAATGTTTGGAAAGTGCTATGTAAGTGGAGTAATGGTTGAGTTGCCACTGGAGATGTAATAATGATGGCTCCATAGTCTGGCAGTCTTGCCTGTCTCAAACATCAATAATCAATAGCAGAAAGTTTTAAGATATTTTGCTTGATTTGAAAGAAAGGATTCAGTTTGCCATTTATGATAATATACAGTTCTTCCTGTTTTCCTGCAAATAGCAGTTTGCTACTTCTCCCCAGCTGAGCAATGTCGGAGTCCTTAGGAAGCAGTGGTTGGGCTCATTCAATAAGAGGCTTGCTGGATGAGCATGAGGACCTGAGTTTGATCCTCACTCAAAAAAGTCAGGCACAATGGTGTGTGCCTGTAATTCCAGTGCTGGAGAGGCAGAGATAGGAGGATACCAGCCAGTCTAGCCAAAATGGCAAGCCCCCGGTTTAGTGGGAGACCTGACTCAAAAAAATTAGGTAGAGAGCAATTGAGAAAGATGCTGAATATGTGTCCACATGCACACATATGTATGCACTTGCACACACACACACACAATGGTCATCTTCAGGACTCTCCTACTAAAGCAGTCTGATTTTAAATTCTGACCAGCTCAGCTAGAGGGACAGCTGGCCAACTGGGCTCCAACTATTTTCAGTCTAATCCACATAAGTGAGGGAGGAGGGTTTCATGAGTGTTCAGTGACTTGAACCATAACGGATGCAGCCTAGGCAGCTTATCTGTGTGCCCCTCAGCAGGCCACTTCTGAGCTTAATTTTCTTAACTGTTCCATGGCACTGTGGCAGTTGGAGAACACAAAAGTGGTAAGTTTAATCTTTTCTGGGAAAGTTGAGGGACCAGGAAAGGTTCTTGGGACCAACAGTATATACGTAGACTCAGTTGGCTGCAATTGCCAGGTTATGAAGGGCAGCTGGAATAGTAGTTCTCTCAGTTAGGAAATGGTAGCTCCAGCAAAAGGAACAGCATTGTGGCTGTGCAGGATCCAGTGCTCTCAGTGCCCCATTCCCAACCGCATAATGTTTCCAGTACCCTGTGGGCTGTACAGACTTGGTTTTTGTCATGGTCAGTGTTCTGTTGCTGTGAAGAGAGACCAGGACCATGGTAATTCTTATAAAGGGAAGCGTTTAATTGGGACTGGCTTCTAGACTCATTGTCATCATGGTGGGAAACCTGGTGGCACACAGGCAGATATGGTGCTGGAGAAGTAGCTCATAGTTCTACATCTGGATGAGCAGGAAGCAGGAAGAGAGAGATACTGGGCCTGGCTTAGGCATCTGACACCCCAAAACCTGCCTCCACTGACATACTTCTTCCAACAAGGCCACACCTACTAATATTGACGTTCCCTGGTGACCAAGCTTTCAATATAAGAACCTTTGAGGGCCATTCCTATTCAAACCACTACAGTCCCCTATCCTAGGAAGCCTGGAAGATTTCTGTGTATCTGTCTTAGTGCCTGCTAGTAGGCTGAACCTGAGAATTCATCCCTACGGCGCCCCATATGTCTGTGGTCTCCTGACACTTCTGCTATCATCTTGGGCTGTTTCTTAGCTGACACTGGAAGCCATATGTTTCATGTGGGGCCAGATGAAGCTTTGATACCAAACACAGTAGCTTTGTCTTGGATTTAATATGCATTACTCGGTGTTTTGTTTCTTAAGCAGAATTTTCTTTGTTAAAATAAACACAGATAAAGAATTTATATGGTGCACATGGTTATGCATATTTATTGCAGAGAATCTGTTAATAATCTATGTCTTGTCGGATTTTGAAATTCTGTTGGAATAACAAAGGCAGCACTTGGTACAACTGAATGAATTTGGTGAAATCTCTCTTATCTGGGGAATGAGAGGCCGTTGCTCCTTTTCCAAACCTCATTTTCTTCTGTCATCTGCAGTGCTGGCTGGCTTCCCACATGGTGCTGGGGAACTGAATGCATTTCTGCCTCCAAATAGCTCTTTACAATTTTCTCCTCTTGCTCCCTTTATTCCAGCACACAGATATGCTTGCCTTGGACTGTTAGGATTGCTCCTTTGGGTAAAGGAGGAGTCCTTATGTTACTAGGAGGGGCAAACAAGAAACCAGCATTGAGTTAGGGGGAAAGCTCTGAGAGATTTGAGGAATGGGAAAGTTCAGTCAGGATACAAGGCCCTGGATTGCATAGGAGGAGGAAAGTTGAGACCAGACATCTGGGCAAAGCAGAAGGAGGGGTGGTGGGTCTGGGAGAGAGTGGGTGGGCCACCAGCATGGCTGGCATTTACCCATGAAGCCATCTCTGTGCAAGAGCATCGTAGGCCTGAGACTCTTTCTCTGAGTCTGGATGTGTCCTCTCTACATGTTTGTTTTTGGGAGAATTCTTTAGTTTCTCTGAACTTCAGTTCCCACTTACGTGAACAGATGAATATTCAAGGTTTCTTTTTTCTTAAAAAAAAAAAATCTCTGCCTGTGTGTGTATGTGTGCGTGCTCAAATGCACGCACCTGCGTGTTTGCAAGAGTGTGGGCCCTGTGCTGTGGTTACAGGCCTATCTTTGGGTGGTCTTCCCCTTTTCCCTGGTTTGAGATAGTCTCTTGTTTACTGTTGTGTGTGCCAGGCTGCCTAGCCTGTAGGCTTCTGAGCATTCTCCATCACCGCCTTCCATCTCTTCATAGGAGTGCTGGGATTGCAGATGTGAACTACCTCATCTGATTCTTGACATGGGTTCTGAGCATATGAACCCTGGTCCTCATGCCTACATGGCAAGAAATCTCAGCTACCTCCCAACCCAATGCTTTTAGATGGAAATTTCTGTCCCGTCACGTCCCACAGCCATTCAGTCCCAAAGAAACACAAAGGCTTATATTAATTATAAACTGGTTAGCCTATTAATTCAGGCTTATTATTAACTATCTCTTACAACTTAAATTAACCCATAATTCTTGTATATGTTTAGACATGGGGCTTGGTACCTCATTCTCATTTTGCTTCCTCTGCATCTGTTTAGTGACTGACTTTCTCTCTCTCTCTCTCTCTCTCTCTCTCTCTCTCTCTCTCTCTCTCTCTCTCTCTCTCTCTCTCTCTGCCTTTTCTCTTCCCAGAATTCTTTTAGTCTGGTTGCCCTGCCATACTTCTGCCTGGCTACTGGCCAATCAGCATTTTGTTAAGCCAGTACAAGTGACAAATCTTTACAGTGTACAGGAGCATCTCCCAGCAAATGCTCAAATTCTTTATTGGAACATAATGAAATAAACATTCACAATTTTACCAGTGACCCTTTGCTTACCCTTGAGAGCATCTGGAGAATGTAACCTTCATTCAAATTATGTTTGTTTGTAGAAACTGGCAAGGTGTTTACCTGGGGTCGAGCAGACTATGGTCAGCTAGGGCGGAAGTTGGAGTCTCCTGATGGCCAGAAACCCCACAAACTAGATTCATCGCTTGCCTTTTGGAGGCAGCAAAGCAGTGTGCCTTTGTCTCTGCATTGCCTGACAGGAGCAGCCAAGGTAAGTGGTGACTTCCTGTAGAGGCAGTGTGGTGCTTTTCTTGTCTCACAGTGAAGGATTTCCTGGGGGCCCACTCTACATCAGGTGTTATCATCTCTTCATATAGGAATCTGATGGGGTTCTTGCTCACAAGAAGCTAGTGGTTTAATATAGTAGAGAAGTTGGGTTTTGGTTACTTAGGTATCACTCACTACAAGGCAGACTGTGTAACTCATTTAATGAGGTTCAGAATCCAGTATTCCAGGTACACTGGCAGGAGAACTTGGATTCAATTGGAGGAATTGACTTAAGTTTGAGAATGGCATGGGTTTGAGGTATGCTTTGAGGGATAGATGGGACTTAAGCAAGCACTTGGAAGAGAGAGGAGAACTTTTAGGGACATAACAGCTTGAACAGTCATGCAGGGTAAGGTGTGAGGAAAATGTATGAGGGCTCTAACAGTTAAATTGGCTAGGTCATGGAGCCCTGAGAAGGTAATATCAAGAGTTGGGGAGTGGCTGAAGCCCAACCTAGGAGGCCTTAAAGACGAGCTAAGTATTCTGCACCTCTGTTTATATTTCCCAGAGAAGAAAACATTGTAGTTCACTTGCTTATTCAAGCTGCTTTGATTCTTTGAAGTTCTACATTTAAGGCAGGAATCTTAATTTCTCCAGGGTATATGTTTCTGGCTCTTAATTTTACTTTACTGGTGTCTTTTTGTTTGTTTGTTTTCCAACATAATATTTGTATTGATTTCTTTTTGGGGGGGGCATTTCACATCATGCACCCGATGACTCACTTCCCAGTCCTCTCAGGTCTGCCCCTCATCCTTGTGACAAACCCTCCAAGAAAAGAAGAAAAACAAAACAAAACAACAACAACAACAAAAACAAGTTCAATTTGTGCTACCCATATACTCACTAGAGCATGGCCAAACTCCCAGTGGCCAGCCCCTTAAAGAAATCTGAGTCCAAAGCTGAGTCCTAGGTGATTAGAAGAATGGGCATCAAGAACTGTTGTCTCTGTACTGGAATTAGTTTAATGAAGGAATTTAGTCTTCACTCAGAGTCTGTCAGAAAAATTAATAATCTAATAAGATTTCTGTAATTAGCATGAGGCTAATTACAACCTTTTCTACACCTGGAGGGCTTCCCTTCCCCAGGGCCACCTGGCTACCTCCTCTTGGGTTTGTCAGATAGTTCCATTTATTCTTCACACCCTAGCCTTAATTCTCCTGAGCCTTTCATAAGTGCAAGCTTGAGGTTTTCCTTTTCTTTCTTCCTCTCCCTTTGACTAATAATGCACTAAAAAGACAATATGTATACAGCAATAGCAATAACCCCGCTTGCAGCCTCTACCCTAATAAAGCACATTCTTCTTGCATGTGCACCAGTGAGTACTTGTTAAAGATCACATAGGTAGTATTTGTTATTCACTCCAGCCTTTATTATTACAAATACTGTTTCATTTCCTCTTGGTCTTAGAATAATTATTTAAAACAATTACAGAGAGCCAGTGAGGTGGCTCTGTAGGTAAAGAAGCTTGGGGCTGGAGAGATGGCTGAGTAACCAAAGCGCACTGACTGCTTTTCCAAAGGTCCTGAGTTCAATTCCCAGCACCATTATGGTGGCTCACAACCATCTGTAATGAGATTTGGTGCCCTCCTCTGGCCTGCAGGCAGATATGCAGGTAAAACACTGTATTAAAAAAAAAGAAGAAGCAGCAGCTTACCACCAAGGCTTGCTGACCTGAGTTTGATTCCTGAGACACACATAGTGGGAGGAGAGAACTGCTCTGACATACAGGTCAACACATACATATATACACAAAATAAATAAACGTTAAAAAAAGTTTTTATAAAGGGATATCTTACATTACTGACTGGAAGGTTCTGAGACTTTCTAAACCATTCTTTGTTTCTTTGCTTGTTTTTGTTTTTTGAGACAGGGTTTCTCTGTGTAGCCTTGGCTGGCCTCGAACCCACAGAGATCCTCCTGCTTCTGCCTCCTGAGTGCTGGGATTAAAGGCGTGCACCCACCACCACCTGGCTCTAAACCATTCTTTAGACAGATAATTTCCTTTTTTATCTTATTTATTTATTTACATCATCACCGTTGAACTGTGCTCTGAAAGCTGGTTGAACTGCTCCCTTGAGATGGACTCGTGGGGGTGAGATTCAAGGGCAGCAGCCTTGAGTATCTCTGTGATGTCTACTATATCTCTTTAGGTTCTGTTTGGTTCTACCAGTGAGTGAGTGAGGAACTGGAGTATTTAATCTCTTCTGTATAGTGCAGTCAGCGGCAGAGAGCCTGGCACATAGTGTGGTAGCATTTATCATTCTTTGTCCTTCCCATGTCATTTGAAACTTTGGGTGGCATAGTAGGAAAGGCATTGGGGCCTCATTTTCTCTGTGTCTGGTTCTGTTGGCAAGATGCAGGTCATAATTCCTAAGATGGACCTTGTGTAATCCATGCATAGTTCGTGATAGGCAGTGAAGATTTGGTAACTGTTGGTTACCCTGTCTTCTGCAAGAAGCATTCAGTGATCTGTGTTGGCCCAGTATGCCACCTGCTGCAGACACAGACAATACAAGCGTGGCCCTGTGAATCTGGTGTGACATGACTAGGTACAAGTACTGAGGGTGAACCTAGGGCCTTGTTGTGCTTGTACATGCTAGGCAGGTGCCCTACCACTGAGATGTATCTCCAGTCCTTTTTTATATTTTTTATTTTGGAATGGGTTCTCACTAAGTTGCCCAGACGGGCCTTGAACTCATGATTCTTCTGCCATGGCCTCTTAAAGAGCTGAGATTATTGGCCTGTGCCACCAGGTCCAACAGGTGTGACTTTCAGGAGCAAGATAAGGAATTGGTTTGAATCCCCTTTCCCTCCCTTAGCAGCTACATTTGAAGTTTTCTTCTCCTTCTTTGTTCCAGGCTCTGGGGTTGTTATGCACCCTGGGGTCTCTATGCAGGTTCAGACTCCAGGCCACCAGATGTTGATAAACTGTGTTTGTGTGTTGTCTCCTGTCAATACCTGTATCTGGCTTCTTTAGCATCTGTTTGCCAGAGGCCCAGGGAGAGTGAGGCTGGTAGGCTGTTAGAAAATGGTAGGTTTTGGCGGGTTTGCTTTAGAGGAGAGAAAAGCCATATTAAGCTAGGTGCTACCATGGCCAGGGACTTGGATGGAGTAGGGATGTAGGGACATCTGGAGAGGCATGAACACCCTGGAGTAGGCTGACAGTTCCCGACCTTTAGGGGCCTACACGTGACACACACAGCTGACCACTTTCTTTAATTTCCATAAATTATTTTTCATGTCCAAGGGATAAGAGGAAGGAGTGAGCTGTCTGTGCTGAAGCTGCATAGGACATCTGCAGAGAAGGGACTAGAACAAGAGCCCAGTCAGGAGGGAAATCATAGGCAGGTGGAGCTGAACTGCAGTGTAACTTTCTTTTTTGGTGAGCAAGGATAAGTAAACACGAATGAGACTGTGCACACTGGTCAAAGCTTTGTGAATAAGGAGTGTAGGACCCATGATGGGGCTTCAGAAGTGGGCCAGGACTCAAGGTACCAGCGATACTTGCATCCCTTCTCTTTAAGTGAAGCGCATCCTTTTAAAATGTGCCCTTTCCTGGATGAAAGTTTCAGAAGTGTGGGTGACAGAGCCTCTAATGCCCTAAAAATCTAGATTCTTTTATTCTAAGCAATGTCTCATCTGGGGATGGAGCTTACTTGAGATTATAGTCTGGGTGGTCTTCCTTTAACATGGTGAGGTTGTGTGTCTCCCACATGATCTGTTTTTACATGCTGGGTCTCTAGCCTCCCTTGGGCAGTTCCCGGTGTCGCGCAGTAGTCAGGACTCCCCTCCGTGCACATGTCAGCACAGTGTGTGAGAGGCTTTATGTTTGTGACTGTGAGCACACATCACAGTAGCCTTTTGCTTCCTAAGCCCCAAGTGGGATGTTGCACATTTCCCATGGGCACTGGCTCTGACTTGTACCCCAAGGTGGAACCCTGCATTTCACAGCTGAGGAGAAATACTTGGACTCACTTAGTAGGATCATAGGGGCCTCGGCAGCTGGAGCTTATAACCTGGCTTGCCTTGGGGTTCTGGGGTAAGAACAAAGCTGTGGCTTAGTGTTGGGTCTTACTCTGATTCTTCCCTGATGGTGAATTTGGGTAAGCTCTTCTCCTCCTGTGTTCTTAGTTTCCCAGAATGCTGGTTGGTCCAGATGATTCTGACTGAGTCTCTTTTATCTCTCTCTTTTATTTCTTGGCCATGATACTCCTGAAGCTCATGACAACTTTGGCTTCTGGGGCTCCTAGTTTTGAAGTCAGCTTGACCCTGACAGACCTGGGATTGCTAGTCACTCTAGAAGCTCTGGGCTTCAGTGCCATGTTGGTTTGCTTCGTCTCTTTGTCCCCTCTCCTTGTTTCTGATCCACTTATGTTGAAGGACTTAAGATGATGCCCTGTTGCCACTGTGGGCTTCCGAAGGACACCTGCTCTGTTCTGTTTGATGCCCTCTTTCTCTGCATGGTCTACCCAGAGCTTGCAGTTCAGCTTTGGCTCTTAGGCCTGTAGTTTGTTGGTACCCCCTGTGCAGACCTCGGGGACCCTGCCCTTTTGTTTGTTTGTTTTTAGTTTTTATTTTGTGTGTGTTCTACTTTTCCCACTCATCTGGGTTTCTCTGATATTTATCTCTTTCTGGACTTTGATATCTTCTCCTTTCCCTTGTCAACTCTATAAGCATTAGTGTTCAAAGAACTTCCCAGTACCTGAGTAAGCACGGCGCTGTGCAGAGTGAAAAGTGTTGTAGAGATAGGTGCAAGGAAACAGTGAAGACAGCATGACTAGTTCTGAGGACACCAGCAAAAAGGAATTGTTGTTTGACCTAGGTTCTCTAAACCAAGCTGGTGTATAGCAGAGACACTACGTGCTGAGGTGAGCGTGAGCTTTAGCATGCACTGCTGTACCGTCCCGTGCCTGAGCCTAGTTCTGCTTTGTGACTGCCTGTCAG